GAGAGAGAGAGAGAGAGAGAGAGAGAGAGAGAGAGAGAGAGAGAGAGAGAGAGAGAGAGAAGGGGGAAGTGGTGTGGAAGGGTGAGGAAAGGTGGGGAAGGCTGGGAGGCAGGTGGGGAGGGTGGGAAGGGCTGGGTATGGCAGCTGAGGGCAGGGAGGAAAGTTGGCGCCCGAACTTTATTTCTCCCCCAAATCCTTATGCCCGTTTTCATTATTTTCGTCCTTTTCCTTCTTTGTTTTTCTTGTTGTTGTATTTTGTGATAGATTAATTGATGCTGCTGTCGGAGTTGTTGCTGTAAGGCGTAATGCCGATCAATCCGATCTGCAATTTTGTGCCCAAGTCTTCGTCGGGACCAAAGGAGGAACGCATTTTGTGCCAGCCAGCACACCGTTCTCCATACTGCGACTCCATCCTGGTAAGTGTCCCCACTTCTCTCTCCATCCAGTACATGCTCATGCACTTGAATGATATGTGCAGCCAGATGAAACTATGCTGCTGGAGCCTGGAACAATTACCGTTTCGAACCTGCACTTTTCTCTCCATCCGGTACATGCTCATGCACTTGAATGACACGTGCAGCCAGATGAAACTATGCTGCTGGAGCCTGGAACTCTTACGGTAACCGCTTCGAACCTGCGATCGACCACAACATTCCGTGGTACTAAACTCTCTGCAATGATCTCTCCGCTCCGCTGACTTCCTCTCTTCAAGACTTAGTCTTGATTGTTACTCATTCTTCCTTTCCTAGTACCTATCTTGACTTGGATTATTTTAATAAGATTCCTGCACTTTCTGAGAGAATGCTGCCCTAACGCTTTTGATCTGTGTGAGAATTCTGAGGCAGTCTGTTCTGCTGCGATCAGCTGTGTTTTCTGATTATCTATGTTATAAGTGGCTAACGTGCATATGTGGTGTGTGCCTGCCTGGGTCCAAATCTGGGTCTGTGGGACTAAGGGCGTCGTTAGACACTCCTCGGGGCATCCTCGGGCTCCGAGGATGAATCCTCGGAAAAGTTTAGGTTTTTTGTCGTCTTCGTTACACTCATCCTCGGAGCATCGGTTTTAGGACTCATCCTCGGAGCAATGTCAGAAACATAAAAGGAAAAAAAAAAGAAAAAAAAGTTGTGCTTCAGGCTTTCAGCCGATAGGGTGCCGCCACGATCAGAATTCTCGGTTGTAACGTCCCTCTACGTGCATGCCCTCTCCTCTCCGTGAAACACGGATCCTCGGGCCCCAAAGGACCTCGCGAGGTCCTTTGGAGCCGAGGACGATTTGGCTGGGAAATCCTCGGAGCCCAAGGATTTGTCCTCGGAGTGTTTTCACATTTTCATTTCCGATTTCATCTCCGAGGACAGGTGGAACGAAGACGAAATCCTTGGAATCACGTCCCCGAGGAGTGTCTAACGACGCCCTACCTCTGTTGGCCATGTGTGTGTGGTTGTCTCCGACAGGGACAACGTGGTGATCGAGAGAGGGCCAAGGGCAGGACTGAAACACTGCGGCAGGACATATTGGTGGTAGTTAGTGCCCAGGGGTATGAGTAAAATTTGATAGGGGCCCGGTAGGGATTTTCCAGCAATTTGCCTGGAAAGGTCCTGTGGCTGAGTTAATGATGTAGACCAGGTGAATTGGTTTCTCAACCCTCGTAATTAAACTCGTTTCCATCCAGTGTCTGTCACCCATGGAGGAGCTCAAATGCAACGTCCCTTCTGTTTGCCTTTCATCGCCCCCGCTCCTCCCGCACCCACAGCTGCAGCGCATCCGCGAGTCACCTGCACGCCGACCTACCCACACGCCTGCCCAGCTGCCGGATCTGACCCTCACGCCGAACCATCCTCACCAACACGCCGATCCACCCACACACCCATCTGCCGAACCCGACCACCCACATCCACCACCCACACCACGCACACGCCCACCCACACACCCACAAAAAGGCCACACCCCTACATGCTTTAAACCATAATGATTACATTGATTAGGTACCGCTTCAAGTTGCGAATCTCTCTCTCTCTCTCTCTCGCGCGCGCGCGCAAGAGAGAGAGAGAGAGAGAGAGAGAGAGAGAGAGAGAGAGAGAGAGAGAGAGAGAGAGAGAGAGAGTGACGGCATAGTCACACTTTGACTTTCGTGGATGTATATGACTGCTTTCCGACCACCTATGTATCACCTGCATCCGCGGCTGCGGGGTCAAAGTTGGCGCAATGTGGCCGCGGCCGCAGACGGCGGCCCCGAAATCGCAGCCGCAATTAAAATCTCGTCGTGTTGCGTATGCCCCGAAGGTCGAGAATAGTAACTTGTACAATTTACCTTCCGAACAGAACACCACTCTCTGGCCAGATACATCCCCGTCCCCAGAACAATGAGCATGCAATTCCCATGTGCGCGTTGTTGTCGTGAGCTTTTTGGTGCATCATTTTCCGGTTGAGAAGGAGAGTTAGGCAATGTAGTATGTTGCAGCCCCAAAGGGCCGGTGGTTGTTGATATATTTAAATTCACGTTGGGCAACGACAACAGCCTACATAGACCTGCGCCAGAGGAAACACGGTTTTACCAAAACAAGGAACAGTCACAAATCAGAGTGTTGGAGAACGGGGATAGATGGGCTGCCTTCCTCGGAAGTTCCTCCCAAACACCCCGATCGCTCAACTGCCGCTTGACGCAGTGGAATGGACATGGACATACAAATTGCTCTGTCCCACGACTAATCTATGTGACAAGGTAGAGGCTGGATGGATGAAGCATCTAAACGTAAGCAAGGAATCACTCCGGAAGGTGTTTCAGCTAGTTAAGACAAAACCTGCAAAATTGGCCTCCCTCCAATGGTAGGCATAGCACTGCTGCCTGCCTACCAACGAATGATTGGCTAATAAACACTGTGACAGTCAGAACAGCCTTGTAACAAAGTGGGCGGGCTCTACCCTGGTGCCAACTATGCTCCAATTTCTTCCCATCGAGGAAAAGGCCAGAAACGATAGAACATATTTTCCTGCAATGTCCGGGAGCAATCTGGCTCTGGCGCTGGCGGGACAGGGTCTGGGACCAGCTTTAGCCTTGAAGTAACGGCACACTGGCCATGGGACTGGAGAGTGTTGCTACTAGAAACATGGCCTGCAGAACAGGTGGATGACTTCACCGATAACGTCTTTAAACTGTTAAAACTGGGACGTAGGGCGGTGCTATGGGCACTTTGGAGACGCCGTTGCACATATGAGATGGAAGGGGTGAGACTGGAAGGCCCTAAATTCACAGGAAGCATACAACAACAAATCCAAACAGAGATAACAACACACTGGGAAGATGCCAAGGCCCGAATTCGCCGTACACATACACAGCAGGAAATAGACCAAAAATTGCAGGACTTCTGCGCAAGATGGCTTGGGGGTAAAAAAGGAGGAAAGATAGGGAAGGTGGAAAGGAAAAAAAAGAACAGTGTTCAAGGGAGGGATCAAGAGGAGAACGGGCCGAGCAAAGACTATCGGCTAAGTTTCCGTGAGTGGACCAAGGTGGACCCCACAACCCGAGTGAGACTGGCGGATGACTTCCCTGACCCCTTTCCCCCTTCGTCCAACAGCCGGGTGGAATTGAGGTGGTACGGGAGATAGAGAGGAAGGGTGGAGCAGTGAAACAGACAACGGGCATGGGACAAAGGAAGAGAGGGTAGGGTGGGTCCTGGCATCAATAAAAGTGTATCTCAGAAAAGGAGGAGGCAGCTAATTACATCGTTAGACATCATAAGGAATTGACAGTTGGGATTGGGGCTGGTAGGGGGAGGGAGGAACTAGTGTGTAGCAGCAGGTATCTGGTGCCGGGTTAAGGGTGAAGAGGTTCTCCCCTCTTTCAAATATCGGTCAATCCCCTGGATCCTTGGGTAATCAATGCTGGCAGGAATCTCCCACAAATGGTTGTCTGATGTGGTCCAAATCTAGTCTGTATATTGGATGCTGGACCCGTTTTCCTGCAGGTGATGATCCCCACCGATAGATGGAGCCTCTCCCCAGGTGCTAGTGGTGTCTGCTCTTATCAGCACCACTAACAGTGGTGGGGGCATGTTTAAAAAAAAAGAAAAGAAAGAAAGGTTGAGACTTGAGTCGGGACCCATTATCCCGCCCTTTCCTGTTGTTGAGCAAGCCAGTGATGTCAATTGTTACTTCCCAAATAGAACACGTCTTCGTCGGGATAGCACCATATATAACAACAAATAGGTTGAAAGAGCAGATATGTATATGATTGCAGCGTGGGCAAAAGACGATGGCTTTCATAGTCAGACTTCTCGTCCAGCAGATAATGGGCCTCACTTAACTACACACTACTCTACATGTATCTAGAGCTCGCAACCGTCCCGATACATTCAAAATGTTTGACTTCTCTGAAAGCACTTGATCAAGAATTGCATTCAAATGCATTTAGATTCTTAGACTATTGACTAGTGGAGCGAGGCTCGATGTCCTCTCGCTTTCTGCCTCGATTCATAGTGCTGAGTCTGCTGACAAAATCCTTGGCGTCTGGTGTCCTCCTTCACCAAACGTGCATCTGCGGATAACCGTTGCTCTCTCTCTCTCTCTCTCTCTCTCTCTCTCTCTCTCTCTCTCTCTCTCTCTCTCTCTCTCTCTCTCTCTC